GAAAATCAGTAATCAGTTTCTTGATGTTAAGATTAAATTTATTAAGGAAGACACCGTAGTTTTTTCTTACCTGAGTACTTTCGATCACCTCCGATATCATCCTCAAGGGTGAATTACAAAGACAAACTTATTGTAAGCGTGATATTGTAATTCACCCCTGAAGAGGATCTAGGAAGAGATCGAAAGTACTTGGACAGAAAAAAAAAAACTACGGCACCTTCGTTGATTAATTTCATCTTAACATCAAGAAACTGGTTCGAGAGCTAGAAAAGATCATTTTTAAAATAAATATACGTAATATATCTATATTATTCAATGAAACTTGTTAGAATGATGATAAGCTGCGCATATATATATATATATATATATATATATATATATATATATATATATATATATATATATATATGGCTGACTACAATATAAGGCTGCTTACTTCGTTTCGGACGAACGGCGGTTGGTTAATACATTTTTTAAAACTAGGATGTCTGTTGTAGTACCAACTTAACTCCGAGTGTGAACTCAGCTGAATATACACATACAATACAGATGGTTCATCCTGGGCACGACGATAAACTACATCCAGCAGCAAGGCATCTTATCGGGAGATTTTGGGGAGCGTGGAACCACTTCTTGATTGCTATTCTTTCGGGGTCCACCCTGGCCCGGGGTGATAGCACCTGTTAGGGTCCCAACTATGGGAAAATAGTTAACCCCTTAAACTGGGGTCAAAACACTATGAAAGTATAAAAATAGATTTTTATAGTAGAAATGTCAAGAATACAAAAAATATTACCAGCAATACATTAGACAAAAACCCTCCGAAAACTACAAACCGATTCCCAACAAAGAATACATATTCTATTGATACTAACCTATCCTAAAAATCTTGTCGGCATTAAATAATTCATTGAGGTTGATATACCGTAAAACAAAATAAACAAAATCAAACAAGACAACTGGTAACAGGAAGTTATATAAACGCCCAATTAATGAGAAGAGTAGAATACGTCATAGCTTCGTAAGGAGAAGAGCGAACGTCCGAAGAATGCCCGGAAACCACATACCAGAAATTAATAAAGAATGTTCTACGTATTTTACTTTACTGTCATAACATATAAGAAAAGGCTCTTTAATATTGACTGGTCATTATGCAAGTAAGCAAGAATTAATGAATTATGTGGTGTATTTATTTCATAAACGCTTCCTATGATATGAATTATAAAAATATCTCTTTGAAATAATTATTCTATGTTTAGAACGTAACACGATGTATTTTATATTCTGCCTGATGTTAAATTACATATTTCTACGCTTTCTATACTCACAATGGGAGGTTCCGGCTTACAATCGAATGGAATACTTTTTGTGGGGTTATCAAGAGTTTGGCTCGGGAGGTAAAACAGCTTTGTGCTTAAATTTGTTTGATTGTCTAAGTTGTGGGGCGGGGAGATAAAGAATGCCAAGAAGTTATAGGTGTAGGAATTGGTATAAGGTTGTTCTAGTCTTTTATCGGGCACATTTTTTGACCAAATATCGGGGTTTCAGCTTGTGTTTTCCTCGTTATGTGCGCACAATGATGATAAGTGTAGGAAGGCGAGAGGAAATAGCAGACAGATGATAAGGTATCGTTATAGTGAGAGAGAAAAAAGATAGAGAAGGAGATGGGTGAGAATTAGAAAGAGAAAGGAAAGAGAATGGGTGAGAGAGTGATAAGACTTAAGAAATAGAATTCGTGAGAAAATGTAGGAAAGGAAAAGAGAGAGAAGTTGATGACAAAGAATTAGAAAGAAAAAGAAAGAAAAATTGGAAAGAGAAAGAAAAGAAAGAAAGAAAAAAAGAAAGAAAGAAAGAAAGAAAGAAAGAAAGAAAGACGGGGAAAGAAAAGGAATAGGGGAGGCGGCGAGAATGACTTAGAAAGAAAAATAGAAATAAAGAAACAAAGAGAGAAAAAGAAATGGGAATGTAAGACAGATAAAGAAATAGAAAATAAGAAGAAAACAGAAAAGACGGACGAAAAAAAGATAAAAAAAAATAGAAGAGGAGAGATAAAAGACAAATGAGAGAAAAAAAGAAATCGAAACGTGGGGGCGGGAATTAGGAAGAAAAAGGAAAGGAAAGAGAATTTGTGTGATTGTGTGAGTGTGTGAGAGAGAGAGAGAGAGAAAGAGAGAGAGAAGACACAAGAAAAAGAATTCAAGAGAAAATGTAGAAAAGGAGAAGAGAGACAAGTTCTAAATAATTAGAAAGAAAATAAGGAAAAATAGAGAAGAGAAAGAGATTAAAAAAAAGAACAAGCGATAAGAAATATAATGGGAGAAATACCAAAAGAAAGAAAGAAAAAGGAAAAACAGGAAAAGAAAATGGGGGAGAGAAAGAGGAGGAAAAAGAGAAAGAAAAAATAAGAAAGAGAAAAATATACGGTGTTGAGAGTGTTAAAAAAAGTCTTCCGTCAGTCGAAATCTGAATGCGCATTAGTATCGAGATAAATGCCTTTTAAAATCTAAGCAAAGTATTAAGAAACAGGATACACTGTTAGAAACAAGGAAAAAGATTTATCTTCCATTTTAATAATAATTATAGCTCTCTTTTTACGTAAATCACGTTTTCAATCATTTCGCTCCAAGCCAGAATATGAGAGAAAGAAACATTATTAAAGAGGGTACAATATATACAGAGTAATATATATATGTGTGTGTGTGTGTGTGTGTGCGTGCGTGTGTGTGTGTGTGTGTGTGAAAATATATAGAAAATAGGAAAGAACTGGTTAGGTAAATAATCCAAAGTTCCTTAGTATTTTTGTTATTATTTAAAAAAAAAATAGTGCTCGATACAAAAGTAGAGCATAAATATAATTATTTATTTAAAAAATATAATTATTTATTTAAAAATATTTAAAAATATGATAAGTGCGAGTTGGAATCATATTTTTAAATAAATAAATATATATATATATATATATATATATATATATATATTCATATACCCATCAATTTTGAATATTTTTATCCATTTCTAAGGATCTAATACACGTATGATGCCAGTTTTTTTTTTATATGTTAATATTCACAAGAAAGGACAATAGTCAACTACAATAAATTCGACAGGTGAATTATGCAAAATAAGAAAAAAAAAATAATCGTACAGTAGAAAATATCGTTTTAAATTTATTGATTCTTATAAGTAATTTGCATAATTTTTTTTTATCGGTGAAGCCTTCTAGACTGTTTATTCAGTACAATATTTGTTTCAATTCCAACAAAGAACATTACGTGGAGCATAGAGTGTTACCACTGTTATTCTTACGTTAACAACATGACAGGGAAGACAAAGTTGCTTAGCGTTGAGTTGAAACAGAATTATTAACTTCCACAAATCGGGAAATATTTACAGCAATATTTCAAAACGGTCCCTAGATCTACGGTACAGTCCGTTATAAAAAAGTTTAAACAGTTTGGCACGACAGAGAATTTTTCTGGGCGTGGAAGAAAACCCAAATTGCCACCGAGAACTGCATGAAAACGGTGTCGCGAGGTTAATATAAACCCACGAGATATTTTGAAAGACATTGCCAAAGGTTTAGATACGATGGATATATCTGCGTAAGCCCCTTTTCACAAACCATGTCACATTGTTGCTTAGTTTAAATTTGCTAAAGCGTTCTTGGACGAAGCAAATTGCTTTTGGAAAATTGGTATGAAGTGATGAAAGAAAAATTGAGCTTTTTGGGACATAATGATATACAGGCACAAGAAAGGTGATGCTTCGTCAGTTTAAACGCGTCGTTAATAAATTTTCACTTTGTCTCAACCATATTTTTGTTTCAGATATTATTACGCACCCCTATACCACACATATCTATCTGACCTCGTATCTTTTTTTGTTTCATTTAGCTATTAACATTTCCTGACGCTGATACGTATTTGCTTTGAGCTTTTTTTAAATCATTTCACTTCAAGCAAGGCAATAAAACCACTAAGACCCAAAGAATTACTGAGTGTGAGAAAATACTAATAAACATTATTAAGGAGAGAGTACAATAAAATAAAACAGGGGACTATGGTCACATCACGCTGAAACACCTGTTTTTGTACAATCGCCAAAGTTAAGCAACGTCGAGCCTGATCATTACCTAGATGGGTGACCGCTTGAAAATTCCAAGGACTATTGGATCTGCGGCTTATTTAATGAATAATGGCTAATCGGAGAGCCGAGTTCCAGTTTCCCGTTGAATTCGTCATATTCACTTACGCACAAATACCCTTCTCCCCCAAGCTATGGGTTAATTAGTAATTATTTCCGAAAAAAATATTTTTTACAATCTAAAAATATTTTCAGGCTTTAAATAACCTACGAACGGTCGATAAGCCGTAGAAAACGAATCAGCCAATCAATCGCAAAACAAGAATGAAGATGACATAAGGCAACAATTGAAACTCCGTTTTCATTTTTGAAGAGCAACGTTGATCAGCGTACAGCCGGAGAAGGGTTCCACAAGCGTGAAGTGCGAGAGAAGAAACACTTAGCATAGAACTTACGGTTACATCTAAGCATTTCAATTGTAAAATGATGAGACCTTGACGCCATTCTAGTACTGGACTGCAATCCATAACGAACAAGACCAGATGTGGCAGCAATATTCATTTTGCAATATAGTTGTTTAAATTGAATCAAAAATAAAAAATGGAATTTGAATCAAACACAATATAAAACTGAAGTTGTCAATAAAAAAAATATAGGACGATTTCTAAAACGTCTTCGGAAATTGATGAAGCTATCAAAATAATGTTCGGAAAAATCTAGAGATAATCAGAAATGGGGGACTTTATCTTTTGGACAGATAGATTTCTTTTCTTTTTACGTTTTTTAATGGTATGAAGACCTGATAGAACTCATTCCAAAATAAACGAAGAATGAAATTTCAAAAGAGATGTCTGCTGGAAAACGTCCATTTTGCAGAAGGAGATGAAAAGGGGGTGTTGATTAGGATAGGCGGCGCAATGTCTGATCCTAGAACGAGCCGGGCAAAATGCCAAGGAAAAGAGGCAGCGTTTGTATTATAGCAGAGCAACCCGAACAAAAGAAAACGCTGATATATTGAGGAAATTGGATACAACTTCAGAAACAGGCGTGCCTTGACGAAAGTCTAAGGACTAGAAGCATGTCCAAGATGTACACTATCCTTCCAAACCAGTCAAAGAGAAAAACAATGCTTAAAATTTTGGTCATCGTAGTAGATGATTCTTGGTTTATTCTGGATTTTTCCGTACGTCCAGCTGGTGAGGGATAACCGAACTGGCTACATTTCCTAGAAGAGAAATATCCCTTCCTGCGATATTATATACGACCTGAATTACCTGCCGAGGCCGTTATCCTGTCAATGAGATGTGGACGGCTAAGGTGACAGCCCCCCACCAAAAAAAGCTACGTTCCTAGTGACTGCTTCCAAACTCATATATAATCTCTACCAATATTTATATATAGACTCAAATATAAAATCAACTAATGTTTATCTATAAAATCAAGTATAAAGTCGACCATTGTTTATCTATAAACTCAAGTATAAAATCTACCAATGTTTATCTATAGACTCAAGTATGAAATCGACCAATGTGCATCTATAGACTCAAGTGTAAAATCGAACAATGTTTTCCTATAAACTCAAGTATAAAATCGACCAAAGTTTATGTATGGACTCAGGTATAACATCTACCAATGTTTATCTACAGACTCAAGTATAAAATCGACCAATGTTTATCTATAGACTCAAATATAAAATCTACCAATGTTTATCTATAGACTCAAGTATGAAATCGACCAATATGTATCTATAAACTCAAGTATGAAATCGACCAAGGTGTATCTATAGACTCAAGTATGAAATCGACCAATGTGCATCTATAGACTCAAGTATAAAATCGACCAATGTTTATCTATAGACTCAAGTATAAAATCGACCAATGTTTATCTATAGACTCAAGTATAAAATCGACCAATATTTACCAATATGCTCGAGCAATGTTTATTTGTAAAATCAACTATAATTCCGCCCAATATTTATTTAAAAGCCGGATTGGAAACACATCAAATGTTTAAATATATACTCATGAAGAAACCCGGCCCATATTTTTGTGTTAACTCAAATATAAATCCAATTAATATTTATCTGCATAATCCAGTATAAATCCAAGCAATATTTATTTATAGACACAATTATGATCTCAATCAATATTTACTTACATACTCGGGTATAAACCCGACCAGTATTTACCAATATACTCAAGTGATGTTTACTTGTAAAATCAACTATAAATACAACCAATGTATTTGATGTTTACCTACATACGCAAGTGTAAATTCAACCAACTTTTTAACTATAGCCTCAAGTATAATTCCGACCAAGATTTCCCTAAAGAATTCATCATAAAAGAAAACATATTTCGTCATTAAATTGCTCTACAAAACTAACATCAGCCAACCTAACCTGTCTATGCCTAGTAAAATTTCAACAGGGTTTATATAGACAATAAAACGATTTTTTTCCTATTGAGGGTGGCCTGGTATGTTCTATAAATTAAAACAGAAATAAATTCACCTGACATGACCTGGGATATCTAATTTATAATATTCGTTATCCACGAAAAATTTTGGTCTTCTCATTATTCACATGTGTTAAGTTTCATTTTCTTACAGAAATAATTATTGACGATATCCCTATTTACAATAACTGTATATAAAAACGACTACAAATACTTGAAGACGTAACCATGAAAGACAAAAAACACACAATCAATAAAATGCCATTTATGAACTAACATTATGAATTTATTTTACAATCAATAGCAATGAAAATAATAAGTGACATGACACCGTAAGCGGAGGCGTTAAGACGCCATACTTGAATTGACAGCAACCAAATGCATGAAGTCATGACACTCTGAATCCACCAGGAAACCCCCTGCGTCTGATGCACCCACCTCTATTAATCCGCAAAAATCCGCTTTGATAATCGCTTACTTAAGTGCCCAGAAGATATTAGACAATTTCTCGCCAGATTCTCTCCAGAGAGGATAAATATTTGTACCTGAAGAAAAACGAAATAAAAATATTTTAACAAAAATTTCGTTTGCATAACTCAAATTATGCTGCCTCTCTCTTTCTCTCTCTCTCTCTCTCTATCTATCTATATATATATATATATATATATATATATATATATATATATGTGTGTGTGTGTGTGTGTGTGTGTTTGTGTATGTATGTAATTATAAAGGTGAAAGACAATAGGAAAACTGTATTATTAGCCAACGCGTTTTTGTCCAATGTAGACGTTTTAATGGAAAAAACGAAATGAATTTATTAAAACAAAGTAACTATAAATTCATTTCGTTTTTGCCTTGAAAACGTCTACATTGGACGAAACGCGTCGATTAATAATACCGTTTTCCTATTGTCTTTTACTTTTATAAATATTGTTTTTTTCTACAGGTTAAATCTGAAAAATTTATATATATATATATATATATATATATATATATGGGCTTTGTCGATGGTATACGTAGACCGTGTGCTACCCAGATTATATGCCACACTTGGTCGGTCGTACCGACAAAATTCCAAGAAATACAGAACATTATATTTGTATGTATTGGCCTGTATTCCTTTATATAAATATTAAATGTAATGCTAAAACCTGATATATAATGGTAATAATATTAATAATATAGAGAAATTATTGTGTTTCGAGGTATACATCAAATAACTTTTGAAGTCAGTCTTTGTAAGATGAAAATACATTTGATACACACGAATGTTTCCGGATTTATTTTTTTAATCCTTTTTAACTTGTCAGCTGATAATAATATGTTTATTTCTTTTCAGGTTGTAGGGTCCGTGACAAACCTTTTCTGAAACTATGCCATGCACACTGTATCTGGAAACGTTTACGGAGAAGAAATTCGTAATACGTTGAGATGGTAAACAGAATTCTTAAACGGATAACAGAAAAATGTCTTAGACAATTGCAACGTTTAAACAATAGGTTCTTCATACCTCTTTCTAAAAAATAAAACAAAAAAAAAACAAAAGACACTCTGACCTTTTGGGGGTCAGGACAACTTGAAAGGTGTAAGCTGTCGTCCGAGATTTGATAAAAAAAAAAACCTGAGTTATAGAAATCTTGATCCTTTTCAGAAAGCAACGGAGAAGTGGCGCGCGTTCAAATTCATCAAATAACGTTACCTGAATGCAACCTTTGCGTGTTATCTTCCAGCTAACCTCGGTAATGTTCTATATCTGTAAATTACGATCAGAGTCGCCTTAGGTTCTGTTGTAGCGTAACGGATATAGATGGGAAGTAAAACAGACAAGCCGAGTTCAAATTCCAGCCAAATCTCTTTTTTTTTAACGTTCGCACAGATACATTTGTAAAAGGCATGAATTTGTCTCCTCCCTGCTATAGGTTAAATAGACTGGGCTCACCAGTCTTTGGTTGCGAGAAAATCTAAAATCTAAAATAACAACTATGTATTCTAAACAATGAAGAAAGAAACAGGGAACCTCTCCAATATCTTTCCCAAGAATTCATGACAATTATAACATAATAAAGAAAAGAAAGAGACGCCATCGCCTATATATATATGCAGGATGAAGTAATGGATAGTGGCTCTGATTGAGGAATCGGAGAGCCGGGTTCAAATTCCAGTCGAATCCATTACATTCACTTACGTGCTAATACCGTTGGGAAAGGTATGAATCCTCTTCTTTTCCCCTAGCTATGGGTAAATAACAGAACAGACCGGGTTCTATAGTCTTAGATGGCAACTTATCTACCGCAGAAAGAAATGACAACCTACTGAGGGAAAAGAAATCTGCATAGTCAGTCATGTATCGAAAGGTACATGATCACCTAAGCGTGTATCACGCGTGGCACATAATTGACTGACCACCAAAGGAGGCACGGTGGAGTAATGGATGGTGGCTCGGATTGAGGAATCGGAGAGCCGGGTTCAAATTTCAATCGAATCCATTACATTCACTTACGTGCTAAGGTATGAATCCTAGTCATCTCCCCCTAACGATGGGCAAGATTTTCGTTATCATTTCTCAAATACGCTGGCCAATAGACGTAATACATACGTTTAAAATGAATTTAATATTTTTTTTAAATATAGGGCGTCTATTTAAAACACGAGTACCCACTATGTTTTAAGTAATAATTTTAAAAGTGCATTAATCCTTTAGAAATTTCTTTGTTTACGTTTCGGATCAGAAATATGGGATTTCCAAAAAAATAACTCCGGTGAGGCAGTGTGCCTTTCTTAAAAGTGTCTTGCTGTAGTGTGGCGCTGTTAACAGCCGAGCCATAAAACTCACCGCATCCATTGGAGGTTTCTCCTACAAAGGGTAACGAAGATTCGATTTCTGAGGTGGGGTTGGGGCACATTTTCTTTATTTAGAGTTCTCCAATATGCAAGCCAGAGGACGTAACACGCACTGGTTAAAGTAAAAATAAAAGTGGGGTGTAAACATCCCAATGTACGAGAATTTGATATATAAATTTATATATTTTAATGTTATATAAGCACAAATATTTAAGTAAATGTTTTGTTTATAATAAAACAGTATTAACAACTTTTACCGGTTTGAACGTCCGAGAAATTTCATAGAAAATATGCGGCCTCCGACAGGAAACGAACCTGTATATAGCCTGATGCTATACCGGTTTATCTACGAAGGAGTGTCTGGTAAACAAGGTCGATTTTACTGCTTTTAAACTACAAACTTAACATGATTTCCCTCGAACGTCCATATCTGCTCGACGCATATCTTATCTATGTATATATGAGATGTGGTATTACGATTTCTTACATTATTTACATTATGTGTGAAAAGTGTATATAAATATAAATAAATATATATATGTATAATTATTTATATATTATATGCGCGGTACTTATTAGAAAGCGCTCAATATCATATCATATAAACCCGTTATTAAATTAAACATCACCATATAAATTAAACAATAAGGATTACAAATTTTTACCTGTTACATATACACAGTCACCAAAACAAACAAATAACCAGCTTTAAATATAACAAACAAAACCCCATTTTTTTTCAAATTTTTTTTTCAAAAAAACAAATAACCAGCTTTAAATATAACAAATAAAACCCCATTTTTTTTCAAAAATTTAAAATAAATATAAATAATTATAATAATAATTTTTACCTATCATAATTTTACACAAACCCCACCACACATATATGCATACATGCGAGAAAATATTTTTCAACGGAAAAAAAAAAAAATTTCATAATATGACATGGATACATTCACGAGACATTAACGAGACATTTCCGCCACACTTCCAATGTTTAAATTTCAACATTTCAACATACAAATGCGTATGTATAGACATAACACCACCCGTATACATACATGTGTCATAGCCGAAACTGTCTACATATGTTTATATATATGTATGAGTCCCGACGGACGACCAAGTATGTATATGTGTCTGCATACATCGACGTTTGCGTTAGTACGATGAATGACAAAACGACGAAATTTCCCCCACCACTTCCACAATAACACCAATACACGCAATCTACATAAACCCAAATGTTTTAAAACATTAATCAGTTTGTCTGACGATCGCTAAAGCGTGAAACCCAGGATCACAAACTCACATCTATCCAACCAAATATATATATATATATATATATATATATATATATATATATATATATTAGGATATTGATCAAAACATGTGAATAGCGCTACACAAATGCAATCATGTTTCGATGTGTATTAACACATCTCATTAAACGTTAGTAAATGACTGACTAGTACACAATTTATTGAGATTTAAAACCACACACAAAATCTTTTCACGTGAAAAAAGGAAGGAAAAAGAAAAAGAATAAGGAAGAAAGGCACAAGACACAATCTCTTTTCCAGAGAAAAGAAAGATTAAGGAAAAACAGTAGAAAATAAGATGGAGGAGATAGCAACAGAATTTGTTTTTTTGTTTTTTTAATAATCAAGTCCACCAATCAAAATGGCCTACGTTAAGTAAGAGGTCATACCCGACAGATTTAAAATCGTAGACATCTTATACGTTATATTTGATACAAATTTAACTTTGCTACAATGTTAACATAAGACAGATGACATTTCCTATGAAAAAAGGAAACGCAATTTAACAAGATACTTGACAAATCACATACCTTGTGAGTTAAAAGTTAGAATTTCACAATTTTATAGTCGGTCAATAATATGGTTTTCAAGAAATAAATGAAAAGAAAACAAAATGACTTAACAAAATTACTAAAAATATATAGATCAAACAAAATAATTAAATAAATGGATCAAACAAGACTTTAAACATATAGATCATATAAAATTAATTAAAAATGTAGATCATACAAAATAGAATGCTACTGTTAACTAAAGGGTCTTATATAGGGTGTTAATAAAACCAATCAACGGGAAATGTCAAAATGTCAGCCAAACGCCAAATACCTAGACTAAATATTATCAGCAGTGCCAGAAGAAAATGTATAAATTATACTACGTCGAAATTGATTTTACTGACCAAAGATAAGCTTTATATGGTGTAACAAGATTATTCTAACATATAAAAAGAAGCAATTGTACAATTTCAAAGTCTAAAAATGTTGTAGAATCAAAGGTAAGATGTGTTTACAATTCACCGTTTATTCAAATCTTTGATTTAATAAATCATTCCTATTCAAAAACCTGATAATCTGCATTTTCTCCCGTAAACACTGTAAATAAGTTTCGTATAATGATCTACATATCTTTGCCAGTTTTAAAAACTTCCATTTAACTTTAGGGGTTTTATTTTCATCTCTCAACTTCCAAAAATATTTTGAAATTGAAATATTATTTCTGTAAGTAATAAGAAAATAAGTGCCGGTTTTAAAAGGATTCTTAGTACTACCAATATAACACTTTTCAAGTCTCGGGTTTTCTTTTGTAGAGATACACAAGGGATTTGGTTAAACATTTGTTAGACAATAGACACTGGTTAGAATTCCTCCAATTACATTGGTCCTTAACAATATTTTCATTAGTGTTTGCATTATGATTAAAATTATGAAATTTGTTTAGAGTTCTATTGTTGTGCAACATTATGATTTTCTCGAGATTATTGGTGCAACTATAACTAAGTTTTAACGTATTCCTATTAAATATTTTACTACGAGAGTTTGTTTTCGGAAAATGTTATCAGTTGAGAAACTTATAGCCTAACTTCGTACTTACTAATTGATTAAATGGGGAGGGGTACCAGATGATCTTCCTATTTCTATTTCTTTACTTTGAATTACTATCATCATATTTTCTAATCTGAATTTCAGTGTACTTATACCCACTATTCTTAAGAACTTTGTTGTACACGCTGCTATGTATCTCAAACACATCTTTGTTGAATGAATAGTTGCTGATCCTACGTTCTGCAAAGGAAGGAATATGTCGGATTACAGACGGGGAGGTGTGATTGGAATTGGGGTGAATATAGATTGGGCTGGCATTATTTTTCATATAAGGCTGAAAATTGTCATAGACTGGACTCATAAGTTACATCGAGAAAATCAACATGTTTAATATTGGTGTTTATTTTAACCTTAAGATCTAATATTCGTCCTCCGACAGGATTCGAACCTGTATCCTATACGGAACCTATCTTTTTGTAATTCTTAGTAAAATTATTTCTGATTAGTGCCATGTAATCATTAGAACGAAATGTATAAAAATTATTAGTTTTATACGATTTCACAAATATTTGATCAGATTTATCTATATCCTTCACTAGAGTATTTAAAAGTTTCTGAAACTGGTTCCTATGTTTATGGAAAGTAATATCGTTTATAATGTGTAAACGATCTATTACGAAACCCTGTAAGCGTTCTATGAGAAGTGCAGTTTTTAAATTTCTAAATCCAGAAGAATCCGCCGTATTTGGAACATCTTGATCTGGAAGAAAGAAATTAGCTTTCCATCTTATTTTTCTTATCAGATCCTCAGTCTTTAAATCCAGTTTTTCGAAATATATATATATATATATATATATATATATATATATATATATATATATATATATATATACCCTGATAAATTTATTTCTGCTGAGCTCTCTGAGGAGGAAGTGTGAGTTTGTAAACATTGTAGCGGAGCAACCTCGTCCTCTTCATATTCCATTGATGAGAGGGAAATTCCGCTCGGTTAGTTTTACGCTCGAACCGCTAAATTGTGGGACCGATTCCCAAGAGTATGCGTTCTCAATCAATCTTAACCTGTACAGGTCTGGGGTTAACCGTTATTCGCATAAACTGTGCCTCTTACTCTGTAGCCCTCTACCTGGCTTTCAGGCCTTGTATAGAATGAAAATCATCGTAAAAAACTATCATCTCGCCATCTTTCTTTCCCCTTTACCGCTTTACACCATTCCTCTTGCCATCCCTTTTATTTTCCTTTATTTTCTTTTCCAGTCCACATCTCATTCTTTTATCGTCATATTTCTTTCATTCCATTCTTTCTATCCTTTTCTTTATCGTTTTCTATTCTTCTCTAACCATCCATATTTGCGTCTCTTCTTTCTTTCCTCTTTTCTTTTTCATTTCCCTCCTTCCAATTCTATCACCATGTCTCTTTCTATCCCTTATATCTATTTTTTTCATTATCGTTTTCATGATCCATTTTTTCCTTCTTCTATTGATATAAGACATCCTTCTTTTTGTCTGCTCTTTCTTTCTTTTCTTTCTTTCCCTCCTACTGCTTCATGCCATCCCTCTTTATGTCTATTTTTTCTCTCCTAAGGGAAAAAAGGAAAAAGTCCCTTTTTCCCCTTACCTCATCTCTCGCCATTTTTCTTCCCTTCACTTCTTACTCTCTTTCTCTTTTCCGTTTTTCATCTTACCTCATCTCTCGCCATCTTTCTTTCCTTCTCTTCTTTCTCTATTTCTCTTTTCCGTTTTTCCTCTTACCTCATCTCTCGCCATCTTTCTTCCTTCTCTTCTTTCTCTATTTCTCATTTCCGTTTTTCCCCTTACCTCATCTCTCGCCATTTTTCTTCCCTTCTCTTCTTACTCTCTTTCCCATTTCCGTTTTTCCTCTTACCTCATCTCTCGCCATATTTCTCCCCTTCTCTTCTTTCTCTCCTTTAATTTTCCGTTTTTCCTCTTGCCTCGTCTGTAACCATCTGTTTTTCCTTCTTTTTTTCTCTCTTTTTCTTCTCCGTTTTCTTTTTTCTTCCCCTCTAACTTCTCTCACCATCCCTCTTTGCGTGCCTTTCCCTTTTCTTTTCGTTCCATCTTTTTGCAACCCTCATACTTCATCTTTCTTTCCCTTTTTTCTATCACTGTTTTTCTTTATCGTTTTCCGTTACTTTTACCTCTTTTGTTTTCTCATTTTTCTCTCTTATTCCTTCTCTCCCCATCTCTCGTTTCCCCACCACACTTCTTTCTCTTTTTTTTTCTTTTCCCTTTTATGCTTCCTTTCCCTTTTCTCCTGCCTCTTCACTGCTCATCTCTCTTTCCGTCTTTTCCTAATCTCGTCTTCCTTTTCGCTTCATTCTGCTAATTACTTCATCCGGATTCTTTTCCCGCCATTTGGCAAGAGAAAATTGATTGATTCACAGACGCCGGGCGACGTTGATATATTAGTTTAGCTTTTATGAAAGGTGCGTCACAAACACTGTCTCTGCCGACACTGGCTGCTTGTATATAGGGTGTGTTCAGTTGGATGGGGCAGAAACGACACTTCAAAATAAAATCCTGGCTGAAACACAAAAAACAATAATAAACAAAGTAATATATATATATATATATATATATATATATATATATATATATTAAATTGAAACAAAGTGTATGATAAACACAGAATAAACAAACTTGTAAAAGTCTATAATAAATTGATGCAAATATAACTCAGGTATTAAATCTGACATTTAAGAATTAATGTGAATTTTAGACAGTCTAGTGGTTAGGCATAGGGCCTTCAGCCCTTTATATATATATATATATATATATATATATATATATATATATATATATATATATATCCTACTTGCTTTATTACCGATTAAGTAAAATAACATTTTCTCCACAAGTCCGAGAAGAGTTTGGATTACTACTACACACAATAAACAGTAGAAAGGAAAAAATAATTTCTTTAAATAATATGTGCAAATTACCATCCTTCACTTGATGAAGGTCACAAGACCCGAAACAGGTGCAAGAAAATATGGAAAATAAAGTATAATATATATTTTTAAAAATCCACATTATAACCAAAAACCTTTGCGGCTTCTCTTTATTTTTTTATATATATATATATATATATATATATATATATATATATATATATATATATATATATATATTGTTTGAATAAAAAACAGACCACTTTAAGGTTCCATGTAATAAGTTATTTCACCACAACCCCTTTAACAGGGCTCTGGATCATCAGACTTTACTTCCAAAGGTTGAAATGGAAAATGAAAAGAAATCCATACGTTTTTGACGGACCGCATCAAGCATATGTTAAATTAACGAAGTGAGGAAGTGAGGTGGGAGAGAAGATAAGATATGAGTGAGTTAGATGTACCATTTCAATTCCTTATTCTTAACTCCACTCTGTATCGGCTAGACGTCGCTTAAACTTAACGTGTATTGTCTGTAGATATAGATGGGTAAGGGGTGAGGGAGAAAACCGACATTAAAGGAAGAAGCTACAACAACCCTAATAAATTACATCCTCCTTGGGTCTACCCATGCGGATTACCTAGTTTTACATAAACTATATATATATATATATATATATATATATATATATATATATATATATATTGTCATCCAGATACAAGCATGTTTCTCTGTATTACAGCTCATCAGTGTGGCTAGACATCCGATTGTTTCAAGCCGGGATGGAAACTCGACCAATTTGACATCAGTCACACACTCTACCCCTGATTTATTGGCGCATGGCTGTGAAAGGTTATCTTCTAGCGTATTATACAAGTATACTTGTGAAGTATACAAACGACAAATCAATAGCCAAGAGCGCTCAATTCATAACTGAAGACATTTATTTTAATTTATTTTAGGATATTACACTGAAATCATGTCGAAATCGCTCCACAATTGCATTCGTGTTTCGATGCGTGTCTATGCATCTCATCAGGAGATTGTAAATTACTGGCAATTGAACAATTTATTTAGATTTAAAAGCAAAATGCAACCTCTCTTTACAAAAAAAGAAAAAGAGGGATATAAGTTATTTGCTCCTTCTTCCTCAAAGAGTCCAGCACGTTCGTCGTGTGATATTTTTTGAACGCTGAGGATTTCAGCGATGCGCTGCCGGACTTCTAATTGCCTTGCGCATTTAGCGGAATGCGCAGGGGAGGGGGAACGAATGCTGTCTGTGCGATTGAGAGATTATAACATCTCTGCCAGCCACTTTTAACCCGAGCAACTTTTGTCGTGTTGTAGAAAAATGCGGTTCATCTGACCAGAAACGATGACCAGATCGGTTTCTGTTGATTCCAGCTGCCAAATAAGGTTGACAGATTCTGCAGGTCACCTGAATGTCTCAAGTTCACCATTTTGATCAAGTCTCATATCATCTCCGAGTTAAACCAACTCTTCTTGTGGATGCACACCTCTATTTCTTTTGGAAATATTTCTTTGGGCATCAACGTTAAACCTTTGTTCCTATTTTATTCAATACCAACTCAAACTCCTCCTCCTCCTCATTCTTCATCTTTTTCTACTAATAATACTACTACTACTACGACAACTACTACTACTACCTCTTCTTCTTCTTCCTCTTCTTCTACTTCTTCTACTACTACTTCTTCCTCTTCTTCTTCTTCCTTTTCTTCTTCTTCCTCTTCTTCTTCCTCTTCCTCCTCTTCTTCTTCTTCTTCCTCTTCTTCTTCTTCTTCTTCTTCCTTTTCTTCTTCTTCCCCTTCTTCTTCCTCTTCCTCCTCTTCTTCTTCTTCGTCTTCTACTACTACTACTAATACTACTTCCTCCTCCTCTCGTTCCTTTTCTTCTTTTTCTTCTTCTTCTTCCTCTTCTTCTTCTTCTTACTCTTCTTCTTCCGCTTTTTCTTATTCTTATTCTTATTCTTCCTCCTCTTCCTCTTCTTCTTCTTCCTCTTTTTCTTCTTCCTCTTCTTCCTCTTCTTCTTCCTCTTCCTCTTCTTCTTCTTCTTCTTCTCCCTCTTCCTCTTCTTCTTCTTCTTCTTCCGCTTTTTCTTATTCTTATTCATCCTCCTCTTCCTCTTCTTCTTCTTCTTCTTCCTCTTATTCTTCTTCCTCTTTTTCTTCCTCTTCTTCTTCTTCTTGCGATCATGGAACGCCACAATTTTCTCGCCCTTAACAAATTTTGTCATCCATTTTATCAAGCTCGCTAGTCAAGTTATGCGTAAGTTTTCCTCTTTCCGCCTTTCCTTCAATCTTTCCTGTGAGTATCAGATTTTCCAAGCCCTTTTTCCTCATTATGCGACCTAGAAATTTCAATTATCTCATCAATTTACAGTTGAGCTGTAGCCATCAATTCTATGCTAACAGTTTCTTTTCTCGCACTTCTCACTCCATTCTTTCCAGCCAACTTTAACCTGCAAAAGTTTAAATGCAATGTCAATCGCTATCTACTGTCCTCCCGATTATTCTTTCCTCTTCCCACTCATTATTAATGTTTCTGTTCGTAATTTTTCCACGCCCAGTAACCCTTTGTGTCTTAGTGGCTTTACTGCCTTGTATGGAGTAATACCGATTAGAAAAAATATCTTTCTCATGTTTTGTATAAATGTATTTTATATTTTGTCTAGAACTTCGTCGTTGCTCACGTATTTGATCCATGGTATTCTCAGCCTCCTTCTGTAGAACCACTTTTCTGTTGCTTCAAGTCTCTTCTTCATCTCTGCAAAGATTTTGCAGCATTCACTGTCATATAGAAAAACTGTTAAAAATTCACGGTGTCTGCCAGAAAAAGCTCAAAGTTCATTTTAGTTTGGTCTGCATTCCTAATGTTTGTCTATCCCTGTCCCAAGGAGACCCGTCGTCTGATCAAAAAGTGGCGAAACTCTTCGAAATCAGCAGGAAATTGTGTGTCAAATTATTAAAAGTGATTAAAGTCAAATTGAATGCAAATGGGATCGTATATGCAAATTGGAGATGTCTGGTAGATGAAAATAAACTTAGTCTAACTCCATCGTAGTGTAATTTTAGGTAAAATCTAAATAGAGAAGATTTATATGTAAAATTTAAATAGGGAAGGTTTATATGTGATATTGAGGTATCTGGCGGGATAATGTTTACCCAGATGCCATAGACTACCAGTACTTGAACCTAACCTACTGGAATCTTACTTATTATAAAACGCAGATTGTGAGTGTGAGTGTGTGTGTGTGTGTGTGTGTGTGTGTGTGTGTGTGTGTGTGTGTGTGTGTGTGTGTGTGTGTGTGTGTAACGTTTATATATTGGATCGAATTTCCTACAAAATTTTATCGTCTAATGTTCATATTATTATTAAAGAGGAAAGATCAAAGTATTTGGGGGATATTTTTTTACATTTTTTAATCGTTCCTAGCATGTCTGAAATTTTCGTTAAAAATATTGTTTTTTTTTTTGTCAAAAAAAGGACAGATAATCATTTTCAATCATTTTTTTCGATTTGATAAAAAAGATTAATAAAATCTGACTTTGATATTCTTTTAAAAATCAATTATCATTTTTTCAAAACTGATTTTAATAAAAACAGAAATTATACTGTTTATTTAAAATATTTTGAACCAAGCTTAACTTAGCTTCTGCGCCGAAAAAATGTAATTTGAAAATAAATCAAAGCAGGTCATAACCTTTCGCGTCGCTTGACGATTGACGAAAGGCACATTCATGACGTTTAGATAATTTACGGGAGGATAATTCTTTCTACGGATGGAAGGAAGTGAAATTATTTAAGTGAACAAATTATTTACCTCGTTACTTTTAAGGAAAACTTTCAGCGCTCTAATTTTTTATTTTTATTTTTTATTTTTTTTGTACTTAGCTTTCATTTTTACGTTTACGATGCTTTATGGAAAATATAAAGAAATTGAAAAATAAGACTGTTAATAGTGAGATTAAATTTCATAAGAAAAAGGTATCTAATTAATTTAGGTACCTTTCTTATGAAATTTTATCAAATGTACATAAAATACTATAATTTTATGTACATTTATTACATTTTACTGTGTTATTTGTATTTCCATTCATTTTATTATTAATTTTGATATTTCATTTATGGAAAAATGTCATAACTGAGATTAATATAAAAATAAGATCATATAAATTAAAGTTTAGCAGTAGTGTTGCAGACCCGGTAGGGTGCAGTGCTGGTTTATTACAAAGTGGCCTTGTGCCAGACACCACACTAAACTACCGAGTCCACAAACAATGTATAAAAAAAATGCGTGAACGAACAGAGAAGGAACGTGGTTAGTCCACACGTGCATAAATTAAAAACATTAATAAGATAGCCTGCACAGAATGACAGAAAACGACTGGATTCAAAACAAGTGTAATTTTTTTATTAAATGGAAAAACAAGTAGATTATCTCGTGGTACGAGATCAGGGAAAAAGGTTCCGCGCCAAAATAGGATAGCAAGGTGAACAAGGC